CATAACGCCTTTAGAGGGTTTGGTTGATTTTTGGATGAATCTGTGGTTTTCTTTTTTACAAGCATCTGCTAACACGTTCTTATAAATTTTTTTATACTTTTTTATATAGTTCAAAGAACGCCTAGGAAGAATCAACTTTTTCTTTAAGTAACATAGAAATTGAAGCCGCTGTCTAGAAACTTTTATCCCTTTAGTAATCCATCTGGATATAATGTTTTAGAAAATGTTATAGAATTTTTAAGGGAAATATATTTACCAAACACTTGCAATACTTGGTTACTGTATGCCCTATTTACATCAATATGTGAGTAAACATCTTCCCATATTTTATTTTTTTAAGTGATTTATAACCATGATGTTTTGAGATTTGAAATTTTTACGTCAGTGGTGATTCATATTGTCATTTTCTAAGTTATGACTGTGTAGGTTCCAGTGTCCATACAGACTTAACCATCGAAGTAGTCAGTTTCATATCCTACTATACATCCTGTAGCAGAAAAGTCCCCTCCTGCAGCTATATGCAAACACTTTGTCATCATCATGCATTAAAAGCAGGTCTTATTGTTAATAAATGAACTTACCTCTCCTAGGTCCTCATTTGCCTTGTGGTCATAAGTTGGAGCTATGTGATTGCTGCTGGAAGGTACATATCTATGCGTTACCCATGTACTAAGATTCATAGCTCCCAGTTACATATCAACACTGGTGAGAAGTAATTCATTCCACATGGCATTTTCTGCTGATGCTGCAGCTTTTCAGGTTCAGGTGAGCTTTAGAATCAATTAAAGTTTGTGTTTATTTATGTGTCAATTGGTCACTTTCTAAAATGGTCACTACAACCCACAGGGTGGACTTGGAAATGATTAGTGTCACAAAATTACAAAGAAGGCTCAACAAATCATGGGTACCAGATCACCATGGCACATAATGTTCGTATTGTGACACCTTGTGTATTTTTATAGCATTCTGAGGTATTTTAATTTCTTGGCATGTAATTGTGATTCTGAAAATTATATCTGCAACCATTGGTGAAACAGGAACCTTATCAGTTCACACTGTAACATCAGTAAGAAAATTATGGAATACTATGATTAACATAAGTGATTTGAAATTGAAAACATCCATTAAACATGTGGTATAGAGACTGTCTTTATGATTATGATGAAGAAGCAGTGTCTGCCCAGGCATAGTCTGGTATCAAGTTCTAAAATCATTGTATGTGAAAGTCCAAGAGTGCTATCACTTCCACTACATATAAAACTGGATTTGCTGAAGCGTTTGTGAAGGCATTGGATGAGGATGGAGATTGTCTCAAATACATCTGCAACAAATTCCCAGATATTGCAAGAAAACTAAAGGAGGAATTGTTGTGTCTCAGAGCAGGATGTTGAGTTTCAATGAAGATTTTTAAGAAGCAGTGAGACAATTTGAAAGAGAAGAATATATTTGCTTATAAAGTGGTATTCTGAATTTCTTTGATAGTGGTAAAGACTCAGATTACAAAATAATTGTTGAAAATGTACTCATTAAATTTCAAAAGTTATGCTGTAATATAAGCCTGAAGGTAATTTCTGACACATTTAGTCCGTTTTCCCCGAAATGTCAGTAGTTTAGTGATGAATAAGGCAACAGATTTTACAAGGACATAAGAGAAATGAATAAGAGATATCAGGGATCATTGCCAGTCACTGAATAGAGACTTTAAGCACAGCACATAGAATCAGTGCAAAAACATTGCACTTAGTTTCTCATATACAGTAGACCATGTTGGGTACTGAATACTGAATAACAATGAAATTCTGATCACTTAAGCTGGTTTTGACAGAATCAACATTTTGTGTTTGGTCTGCTACTGTGTAATATCATTACAGATAAATTCTTAAATACCAGTTTTTGTAGGAGCATCTTTAAAAATGGTGGTGCATGTATTTTTGTACGTGAAACTATTTATTCTACCACCATTAATATGGACAAATACTGTAAAGAAAAGGACTTAGAAGTATGTGCAGTTAGGTTACACCTCTCTGCTCATGAAATATGTGTTATTACCATCTATAGAGCTCCTTCTGGTAACTTTCAGCATTTTTTTTCAAAACCTTGAAGAACTTTTAAATATGATTTTTGCACACACCAAGAATATAATAATATGTGGTGACTTCAACATCAACTATCTCGAAGATTCTCCCCACAAACAGCAGCTAAACTCAATACTAGCCTCTCATGGACTATATAGTATAATCCAATTTCCTACTAGATTCCAAAATGATTCTTATTCCTTAATTGATAATATTTTCATTAATACATACAAGTTTACTAATTTTACTGTATGTCCCATCATAAATGGTCTTTCTGATCATGATGCCCAGAACCTAATAATACACAATATATTTAAACAAAAACCTAAAGATAGCTACTACTATATACGGGAAATAAACGATGTTTCAATTACTAATTTTAATAACAAATTAAGTTATGAGTTATGGGAAGACGTAATTAATGAAAAAGATATAAATACTGCCTTTAACCTTTTCCTGAATGTATACTTAACAATATTTCACTCTAGTTTTCCCTTAAAAAAAGTTCATACCCGCTCTGCCAGTAAATCCTGGCTAACACCTGGAATCAGGATTTCATGTATAAACAAAAAAAAGCTTTATTTAGCTCAAAGAAATAGTGATGATATAAATTTAACTAAGTTTTATAAGAATTACTGTAAAATTTTAACTTCTGTTATCAAACTTGCAAAAAAAAAACATAATAATAATATTATAACTCATTCAAATAATAAAATTGCAACTGTGTGGAATATTGTAAAGAGTACTTCGAAAATAAAACCTAATGTACCCAATATAAGTACTATAAGGGTAAACAGTAATTTATCCTCAGATTCTCAGATTATTGCTGAGGAATTCAATAAATATTTTGTATCAGTTGTTAAAAATAATCGCTCAGCTAATGACACTTCCAACCAAGAAAATCCTATATCTTATCTATCTAGGGCACGTAATCAACCTTTTCCCCCTATTACATTAAATTGTGTATCGTCAAAGGAAATAGAAGATATTATAAAATCCTTGAAAACAAAAAATTCATATGGATATGATGGGATATCCACTAAAATTTTAAAAGTTAGCAGTCCCTATATTTCTTCTCCTCTAACTTATTTATGTAATAGAATGCTAACAACTGGCAATTTTCCACTAAGATTAAAGTTCTCTGAAATAAAGCCCATATATAAAAAAGGTGATAAAAATGACACATCGAACTACAGACCTATTTCACTGCTCACATCAATTTCTAAGATCTTTGAAAAGGTAATCTATAATAGAATGCAACAACATATCAAGAAAAATAATATTCTTGCTAATGAACAGTTTGGATTTAGACATGCACGATCAACAGATGATGCAGCTTACTATCTTATTAATAATATCTTAACTGCTTTAAATAACAAAGAAATTGTGGGCGGTGTTTTTTGTGATCTTCACAAGGCCTTTGATAGTGTCAACTATGATATTCTGCTTTCGAAGTTGAATCATTACGGGATTAAAGGAAGGGCTTATGATGTAATTAGATCCTATTTATCAGATAGATACCAGAGAGTAATAGTTGTTTCTGACTCAATTAAATTCTACTCTAAATGGGAGCCTGTTACCGTAGGAGTCCCTCAAGGATCCATACTTGGTCCCTTGCTTTTCCTTTTATATATCAATGATTTGCCTAATGCCATATCTGATGTATCCTATCCAGTCTTGTTTGCGGATGACACAAGTCTAATAATTAATAATCCTGACACCCCAAGATTTGAAAAAGATATAAATATAGTTTTAGAAAAATTAAATAAATGGTTTAGTAGTAATTTATTACTACTAAATCCTACAAAAACTTACTTTCTACAATTTATAACTAAAAACACAAGAGTTTTAGATTTACATATACTATGTGGGAATAAACAAATAACCAATATGGAGGTTACAAAATTTCTAGGTTTGGTTATTGATCATAAATTGTCTTGGCAAACCCATATTGACCAAATGATACCCAAATTAAATAAGGCATCCTATATAATTAGAGTATTAAAACCTCTTTTATCCTTGGAGTGCCTAAAAACTGTTTATTTCTCCCTAGTTCATTCAATAATATCTTACGGCATAATATTTTGGGGGAGTTCGGCTCATGCAAAAATCATATTTCAAATACAGAAAAGAATAATAAGAATTATTACCAATTCGCGTAATATAGATTCGTGCCGTAATTTATTTAAGGAGTTACATATTCTGCCACTTCAGTCTCAATATATATTTTCTTTACTTATGCTGGTTGTCAAGAATAGAGATTGCTATATAACAAACTCAGATGTCCACACACGTAATACCAGATTTAATCATGACTTGCATCTTCCAGTGGTAAACTTAACGATATTTCAGAAAGGTGGATGGTATTCTGGTATCAAACTTTATAACCACCTCCCTCCAGAGCTTAAACAATTATCTTATGACATTCCTGGATTTAAAGTGGCGTTAAAGAAGTTTCTTATCACCAGTTCTTTTTATACTGTTGAAGAATACTACTGCTGGAAGAAAGATTGACACCTCATGTATATATTTTAATCATGTATGTAATTTTAAATGTTATTTTGACTTATGAATGTATTATGGTACAGTAGTTTAGTCGTATTTTGACGATGATGAATGTCTGATTATGTATGTATATTTATACGAATGTATGTTATATTGTATGTTATACGTATGTTATATTGTATTATTGACTTGTTCTGTATCTGAGGCAGATGCCTCTATGGATATTTTTGGAACTGTAAATAAATGATGACCAAATATGCATAAAATCCATTGAACCATCCAGGTACTAGTAAGTTGCACATGCATACATACAGGCAGACACATGACGTTCTGGAAGTCTCTTTTTTTTTTTTGTTTAATTCAGTGGTCAATAATTGGAACCCTTTATAGAATCTAAAGATTGATTTGTTACAACCACAACACTTCCTCATACATACTATGTATATGAGAAAGTGAAAGACCAGAAAACTTCATTCTATCATGAATAATTTGCTAAACTGGGATAAATGTTCATTTGAACATCAGTATTGTGCATTATAGCCAACTTTTTAATTTGAGTGTTTAGTAGATTACACAAGTTACTTTGTCATTGTGGTATGAGAAATGAAATGTAACACTATAATGGAAAAATGCATGTATTTTTCAGTTCTAATTTGTTAAAAAATCTTGCAGTTGGTAGGAAAGGAATGACAGTTTTTAGATCATTCTTGTAAATTGTTGAAAATGACATACTCATATTAAAACAAGTGTTGTCATATTTAGACGTGGTGGACAGTGCTGCTTCTCAGATCCCGTTACAACTCAAAACTGTAAACTTGATTTTAAGTGAGTATTCTGTCCTAAAAGTTTAAATTATTTCACACTAATTTTAGGAACGTCTGAAAGGTTTGTATCGTTTGGTGCATGACATAGAAGAAGAACGAATTCGAAGTGAACACAATCTCAACAATATCACAAAAGCTCATGAGAAAATAAATCAAGAAGAGAAAGTTTCACCATACTATCAGGTAAGGGTAATTAATCATGATGCATTACAGCATGTTTCGCAGTTTACAAATGGCATTTTTCCATCTTTTTGTAGGTATTCTGATATGTCATCTTCCAGATTTATATTCATAATATTTTATGGAATAATACAAAAACTTGTTGTGGCACCTATGCTATAATGTTTATGAAGTCCGATACTAATGAAATTCTTCGTTCTCTCACTGTCTGTAAATAATTAATGTTACATCATACTAAATTCCTAGTAATGAACATTTGTTGTTGTTTTATTTCATTACCTTGTATCACATTTCAGTTAATAATAAGATACTGATGGTGGTAAGAAAGAGATGCTGTTATACATTTTTGCTTAAACAGTTCCCATTCCATACCTGAAATTGTTTTTGTTGTTGTTGGCAATTTCTTTACCATTGTTAAATCCATGGCTGTGGTTCAAACCCAGTTGCATGTCTAGCAGGAAGTGGCAGAGCATGACTTCATGATGCAGAGGAAGTCATAAACATTTTGGCAGTTGAGTATGTACATCATACAAGACAACGTTGCAGATTTGAGATAAAAGTTAAGATACTTAATGAATAAATGAGGAAGAAAATGTGAACTGCTGAGCTTACTATTCTTTTTTTTTTACTTAAAAATATCTGTGACAGAATCACTGAGGTTTAAACTGCTTTATAAATCTTGAACTTTCTTCTCAGTTGTCATTAATGATAATTGTCCTTATTCTCTCCTGAGTCGGAGTGCTGTGTTGGGCTGAAAATATATGGTATTGTGTATATGGAAGTTTCATATATGCACATGTTCATATGTGTGTGAAGGCATACCTGTATAAGCTATGGCTCTGTGGATGAGGATTTTGTCATCATTATCATCTGCTCTTCGTTCATCTATTAAGTTGATATAAACACTTTCTTTTATATTAATGTATTCATATATTCCTATGGCATGTGCCACACACTACCACATACTTAGTGAATTACACACAACAATATCACACAGGTTTGGCAAATGAGTAATTATTCTTTATTAATAATCTATATAAATAAAAATGTAAATGTTCGTTTGTTCAAAATCTTAAATCCCCGAAAGTTCTTCACTGATTGCTTTGAAATTTTGACACAACATTGAATTCAAATACGCGCGTTTTTATATACCTATTATATAGATGTCACACTTGTGACAGGTAAAATCATGCTTCTTTTGAAAAACAGTGCCATCTGTTGGACGTAAAAGCAACACACGCTATACTAAATATTTTATGATTCCATTTCAGTGTTTTCGATTGCATTGTTAAATTGGATTTTCATAGATTTCGATTTATTTTCATTTTGATTTAATTATTTCATGTGACATTGCGTTGGAATTGAGCTGTGTCTTTTACCATAGTGTTCATTTCATGAGTATAGTTTATTTTTTTCTTCTTTCATTGTTTTTCATTTCGTTTTCTTAACTGTTTTCCTTATTTTTCAGTGCAATTGGCGGTGGAATTGAGCTGTGTCGATTGATCTGCGCTTGAATTGAAATGTTTTGTTAGTATTTTTTTTTTTTGTTTCTTCTTTGTTTTCCAGTTTGTGTTCTTTCCTTTTTTAATGTTTTGCAATTTCATATGTTTTTGTTATAACTTTCTTTCTTTCTTTCTTTCTTTCTTCCTTTTTCTTCTTCTTCAGTGCAATCGATCTGCTTTAGTTCTTCCAAATAATGCCTCGCAGAAGATCAAACTTAGGTCGTCATGCTCGCGGAGCGGAAGCAGTGTGATGAGTAATTGCAGATCAAACTGGGGAAGAATGGGCATCAGCGAATGCGCGAAACAGGCAAAGAATGGCTCAAATATGTGCCGAGGAAGCAGCAGAGCGATGTGCAGCCAGACTTGTGGATGCACGGTTGCGAGCACGGCGATCGCGTTCTGCAGCTTCAGATCTGCTTCGTTCTCAACAGAATGAACACAACAGGCAGAGAGTGGCTGAAAGACGTCAACGAGAAACAGCAGGTCAGCGTCAAACACAACTCCAGCGGACGAAATAAATGCTTGCCTGAAATAATCTACTTTGTGGCGACACGTAAAGACATTAAAATTAACTACAAATATGCGTGTCCAGCTGCAAAACGATCGATCAGCTGAGATATTCTCACATCAATTGCAGGAAATTGGGAACAGAAAGGTGCCCGTTGATCTGACCTCAGGACGAATATCATTGCCTCATAACTTCTGCAATTTAGTGACGTCAAAAGAAGAATCGGTTGAAAAAGTATTTCCCAATATTCAAACCAATTATAAGAATCACGATTGGCTGAGTGAAGGAGCTATTCTTGCAGCCAAGAACAAAGACATCTACAAACTTAACAGTATCATTCAGTCTAACATTCAATGCGAGGCAGTCACATACAAGTCCGTCGACACTGTTGTGGAAGCAGATGAAGCGGTTACTTATCCAACAGAATTTTTTAATTCACTTGATCTGCCAGGGATGCCACCGCACGTACTGCAATTGAAAATATGCATGCCAATTATCATGTTGCGAAATATCAACCAGCCAAAGCTTTGCAACGGCACGCGGCTTTCAGTAAAAAAATTATTGAGCAACGTAGTAGCAACAGTCTTGACAGGACCTTTCAAAGGTGAAAATGTCTTGATTCCTCACATTCCTATGATTCCAACGGATGTGCCATTTCAATTTAAGAGATTGCAGTTCCCAATTCGATTGGCGTTTGCAATCACCATCAACAAAGCTCAGGGCCAATCTTTAGAATTGTGCGGTTTAGATCTAGTCATGGATTGCTTCTCACATGGACAGTTATATGTTGCGTGTTCTAGAGTCGGCAAACCAGAAAATCTCTATATCTGCACAGACAATGGAACAACAAAAAATATTGTATACCCACAAGCATTGTGAAATTAAACATATTAGAAATGTGCGCTTTCTCTTTTCTTTCTTTTCCATTTAACCAGACTGAGCCACAGCAACGCGTGGCTGGGTACAGCTAGTATTTCAATATAAAAGTAATATTGAGCTGATAAATCCTGTATTATGTTTTCAGATAGACACATGGTTCACAGTACAGCAGTCAATAAGATATTCTCTGTAACCAACAGTAGAAAACAAAGGTTGTCATTACATTCTTCTGTCTACTTGTTAAGACCTTTTAACTGATTATAATTGATTACTCTTGATATACACAACATAATTCCTTGACATTAAATTTTAATAAAACATATTGTATGTATTTTACAACGATAAGGAAACATATTGTAAACTCCCCTATAAAGTATTTACATTCTGACATTAATAGTACACAAGTTATGGACTTTCTGGGGGTGTCTTTGGATCCATCCTTATCTTGGCAAGGACATATATCTAAAACAATAAAGAAATTAAATTCTGCTTGTTTTGCCATTAGGTCTCTGAAATCGTTACTATCTATTAATGATCTAAAAATGATATATTTTGCCTATGCTCACTCTATAATTGTATATGGAATTGCCTTTTGGGGAAATGCCACTAATAGCAAGGATGTCTTCATAGTGCAAAAAAGAATTATAAGGAGTATTATGAATGTAAATTCTAGAGCCTCTTGCCGGGGATTTTTTAAATATTTAAACATATTGCCTTTTTATGCTCAATATATACTTTCGCTTTTGCTTCTGGTGGTGAAAAATATGCATTTGTTTGCACTAAATGCTGAAATACATGTCATAAATACACGACAAAGTACCAGCTTACACGTGCCATTGATAAATTTGGCCAAATATAAGAATAGTGTGTGTTGTATGGGTATTAAAATATTTAATAATCTGCCACATAATTTAAGAAAATTATCGAGTGATTATAAAAAATTTAAGTTAGCTATAAATAATTTTCTCTTAAATCAATCATTTTATTCGATAAATGAATACTTGGAGTGGTCAAAAGAAAGGAAATAGAATACAGGTGAATATTTGTTTTATTTAGATACACTTATGTGTAGTAGTTTTTGTAGACTCTGTATAAATGTATGTATACTTTTATTATTAATTGCTTATAATGTCCGTATTTTAGTTATTATTGATTTATTATACTAAGCATTGACTAAGTTGTATTATTGCAACTGTTTTATTATAGTATATTTTACTATTTGGGACTGCTTCTACAACTGNATGGACTTTAATGCTTATTTATATATTAACAGGTATAATGGTTCAAGCTATATCTTATAAAGAAATGCAGTACTCTTTTTGCTTAACCTAATTTATTTAGAAACTGGAGGAAGTAAGTGACTGAAATATTTTTGTTTTTTTTTCCTCCAGCAAAAATTGAAAGGTCTGTATTCTGCTGCTGTGGCAGATGCTGAGCAAGAAGAAGAATTAATTCGCAGTGCACTGACAAAAGTCAATGAGATTCGGTCCATCAGGAATGAAAGGAGGATACAAGCAAGAAATGCTGGGAATAAGGAAACAATACGTAGAGGTGCACTGATGAAAATGCTTCAAAGCTCAGCACAGACATTGCCTTTGTGGGTAGGAAAACTGGGGGAGAAAGCTCCAGCACTTTGTGGAGCAGTTCCTGCAGAACCTACATACATAGCGAAGGTAAACATCTTCACATAGAATGTTCTCTGTTTAGTCAGATGACAACTGTGATTATGACCCACGTATTGCTAATTTATGGGTCATAATCATAGTTGTCATCTGACTAAACAGAGAACGTTCTAAGTCAAGATAGAAACGTGGGAGAGTTCTCAAGATTTTCCAGTATTATCGGTTAACTTAAGAAAAATACTCTCTTCTGGAATGTGATGCCATACATTTTGTTACCTATCTTTCAAGCTGCATTAATTATCTAGCATCTGTAAGGAATTGGATGTTCCAGTTATATAAATCTGCCAG